ACCTCCACCACCTTACTACTACAAGTCACCACCACCACCTTCCCCATCTCCTCCACCACCCTACTACTACAAGTCTCCTCCACCACCATCCCCATCACCTCCCCCACCCTACTACTACCACTCTCCACCTCCACCTGTAAAGTCTCCTCCTCCACCCTATTACTACAACTCACCTCCTCCACCAGTATACATTTATGCTTCTCCACCACCTCCAACTCACTACTAAGTATTTCCGAAAGCTCAACCATTCTCCCAAATCAATCAAGTAAGTAGCTATTTGAATTGTGAATTTATATATATATATATATATATATATATATATGACTCTTTTCTTATGAATTATGTCTCTAATCTTCTATTTGGTTGTTTCTATCCAGATTTCAATTTGAAGCACAAAATAAAGGATGGTTTCTTAATTGAAAGAATCAAACTTCAATGGTACAAATCAATTAATTTATTGAATGACATCTTCTATTTTACAATTGGAAGATTGATACTTCATGACATGGACCAGTTTGCTTCAACTTCTCCTCTGGCCTTCTTGCTCATTGTTCTCACTGCCACTTCATGGAGAAATAACTTAATTATTTCTTATTACAATAAGTTATCAATTATAATTGGTTCTTGAATGTATATGAGCTTTCATGTTTTTTATTCCTTTATCAATTCATTTCCTATTAGTTATAATTGTATGTTGTTTTGTACTTCGTGTACAAATCATGAATAAGAAAGATTAATTTTATTATATTCACTGTTTCTTTTTTCCAACAAACGAGCCACCTTATATACACAATGTAATTTAACGCGCAATTTATTAAAAAAACTTTGTACATATACATGAAGTTAAGATATTTTTGAACTTCATGCATAAATATTTGTCCAAAGGGCCAATCAATAAAAAAAATTTTAATTTGCTCCCTTACATATAGTTTGAAGTTAAGTTTTACCAAGTCAAACTTAAAACATATATTTGAAATTCAGACGACTCATATAAACTTGATATAAAGCGCTTAAAAAATATTAGGTCTTGAAATCGGCTATACATGTGTAGTTTGACCATATTAGGTCCAAATGCTTTAAACGGACCTAAATTTTAACACTTCGATTTTTCAGAGATTGATTTAAAAATACTTCAAGGTGTGAAGCTTCGATTAGGGTCTAGGGTAATTAGTGATACGACAAATGTAATATTAAATCAAAAGTTTAACGGATAACGAATAGTCCATAAAAGGTCAAAATCAATTTTACTAATTCAATTTGGATTTGACAATGGTATCAAATTATGAAAATCACATGGTGGTTCCATATATTTTCTTCATTATTTATCAAACTAAACCACGTAATTACCTAAACCTTGGACTTTGAAACAATCATTCTCTTACCTAATTAAAGAGGTGTTAATGACACTGTATTAACTGGTCTTCTTCAATTAAATAAAATAATAGAATCATAGATTAACACTTTTGGTCCTTCGATTATTGATACGTTTAAAATTTTAGTCCTGTTGATATATGACGAATTAGCATTTACAATTATGGCTCAAACTATGTAAAAATTCGTTAAAATAAATATGTTCAAAACATATATAAACTTACTAACATTTGAGATTGTTATACTAAAAATAACATGTTCTCGTAAAATTAAAATCTTAGATTCCTCTTCGAAGTCAACCACAACAGCTAATTAAACCAAAAGGACCATAATTATGAGATCTCAGTGATCATTGAGGCAACATGTGAAGGAAAAGCAAAATATATATTTAATGGAAAGAAAGTGGAAATATTAAAAGTTAGCAATCATTTTCCAATACAACATTTTATGGCATGTGTGTCTCTTTGTAGCAGGTAATTGTTACTACAACTTGTTATATAGATATTGTGGAAATATTCAAAGTGATCAATAAATGGATTTTAGTATAATTTAAGTCAATGATTATAAATTAGAACAATTGAATTAGTCCTTTAGACAGCTCTAAACCAAAGGCTACTTCCTATGAAGTGTTTGCTATAAATACATAGGATAATGAATCCCCAAAAGGCATCAGTTCTCAACTAAAAAAACTATAGGTTATATCTTTTTTTTTTCTTAATCTAACTAGCCACATTTGGGGATAGGTGGTGTAATTTTCAGACGAAATGAGGCTTCAAGGTGGCGTCCCTACGAAGGGTCGTCAATATTTGCCAAGAATATTAACGGTGTTGGTTATATTGGTTGTTGCTAATGTAGTGTCGGCAGATCCGTATGTATACTCTTCTCCACCACCTCCGGTGTATGAGTACAAATCACCACCGCCTCCTTCTCCTTCTCCACCACCACCGTATGTATACAAATCTCCACCTCCTCCATCACCTTCTCCCCCGCCTCCATATGTTTATAAGTCACCTCCTCCTCCTTCTCCATCTCCACCTCCACCATATGTGTATAAGTCTCCACCACCTCCCTCGCCGTCTCCACCTCCACCGTATTACTACAAATCTCCTCCTCCCCCATCACCTTCACCACCACCTCCATATTACTACAAATCTCCACCTCCACCTTCATCATCACCACCTCCACCATATTATTATAAGTCACCCCCGCCACCTTCTCCTTCACCTCCTCCACCATACTATTACAAATCTCCACCACCTCCTTCACCTTCTCCTCCACCACCTTATTACTACAAGTCGCCACCTCCTCCATCTCCATCACCACCACCACCATACTACTACAAGTCTCCTCCACCACCCTCCCCATCACCACCCCCACCATACTATTACAAGTCCCCACCACCACCGGCTAAATCACCTCCTCCCCCGTACTATTACAATTCTCCTCCACCACCAGTGAAGTCTCCCCCTCCACCATACTACTACTCTTCACCACCACCACCAAAGAAATCACCTCCTCCACCGTATCACTACACTTCTCCACCACCACCGGTTAAGTCACCACCTCCTCCGTACTACTACTCCTCGCCGCCGCCACCAAAGAAATCACCTCCTCCACCATATTATTATAGTTCTCCACCACCACCTGTTAAGTCACCTCCGACTCCATATTACTATAAGTCTCCACCACCACCACCAAAGAAGTCTTCTCCTCCACCATACTACTATACTTCACCGCCACCACCAACTCATTACTATCCTCCGCATCATCAATTCGTGGTCAAAGTTGTTGGAAAAGTCTATTGTTTTAGATGTTATGATTGGAAGCATCCAAAAATGTCTCATGGCAAGAAACACCTAAAAGGTACTTAAAGCTCTAAAAGATCTAAAATAATCGATAATCTATTAACAAATCAATTATTTTCATTCTAACTAATGTATTATTTATTTTTTATACATGTATTAGGTGCTATTGTTGAAGTGACTTGCAAGGCTGGTGACAAGGAAATTATAAGTTATGGTACTACTAAGATCAATGGTAAATTTAGTATCACTGTTGAGGGATTTGAATATCGCAAATATGGAGCAAAGGCTTGCAAGGCAAAACTCCACAATGCTCCTAAGGATTCAAAGTGTAGCATTCCTACAAATCTTCATTGGGGAATTAAGGGTGCTAACCTCAAAGTGAAGTCAAAGAATAAATATGAAGTTGTTCTCTATGCAAAACCATTTGCTTATGGCTCTAAGACACCCTACGCGAAATGCAAAAAGCCCAAGCCTACACCTGCTCCGTATTATTATAAGTCACCTCCACCGCCATCACCAACTTATGTTTATAAGTCACCACCTCCTCCGACTCCGGCATACGTTTACAAGTCTCCACCACCTCCATCACCAAAACCTTCACCTATATACTATTATAAATCACCACCACCTCCATCACCATCGCCTCCACCTCCTTACTATTACAAATCTCCACCACCACCAACTAAGTCTCCACCACCTCCTTATTACTACAAGTCTCCACCTCCACCATCACCAAAACCCGCACCGGTATACTATTATAAATCATCCCCACCCCCATCACCATCACCACCCCCACCTTACTACTACAAGTCCCCACCACCACCATCTCCTTCACCTCCTCCGCCATACTACTATAAGGCCCCACCACCACCATCGCCATCTCCTCCTCCACCATACTACTACAAGTCCCCTCCTCCCCCATCACCTTCTCCTCCTCCACCATACTACTATAAGTCACCACCACCACCGTCACCATCTCCCCCACCACCCTACTACTACAAGTCTCCACCACCACCATCGCCATCTCCTCCACCACCATAC